CACGCCGGCATCTCGTACGGGACCGTGGCCCCCCGCACGCCGGGTTCTCACACAGACCATGGCCCCCGCACGCCGGGTTCTCACACAGACCATGGCCCCCCGCACGCCGGCATCTCACACAGACCGTGGCCGCCTCTGTAGCCTCCTGTTTCCCTGACTCTCAGAGCGAGGGGTGGAGGCCGTCCCAGCCTACAGGGCGGGGCAAAAGTAGGTTTACAGTTCATACAGCAAATAATACAATAATTAATAACTGATGTAAGAATACATTGTACTCACAACGGTAAACCCATCTTTGCCCCACCTTGTATTTTTTTTATTGATTTTATTTAGAGAGAGGAAGGGTTTGGGGGGAGAGAGAAACATTGAGTTGTTCCACTTGTTTCTGCATTCATTGGGTGGCTTTTGTATATGCCCTGACTGGGGAGGGAACCTGCAACCTTGGCTTGTCCAGCTGACGCTCTGACCACCTGAGCTCCCGGCCAGGGCACCACCCCGACTTCTTAACTGGATGGATTCTCTCTCCTGCTGGAAGTCACCTAACTGCTGTCGCCTGTCTGCTTCTGCGAGTCCCTCCTCTGCCTAGTTCTCTGCTAATCCAGCCTTCTCTGAAAAAGGATAGCATCAAACTTTAGGAGCTCAGAAACTGTTTTTCATTCGTTGAAAATAAACGGGAATCATTTCCATTAAAAGTTTTTTCACATATACTGTAGTACATGCTCTCATGGTCATGTTCAACTCCGAAAAGTGATTTGAAACCAAAGGAGAAAGAGGGTTAACAGTTGAATGGCAAGTCTGCTGTGTACCCGGCCGCTGAACGAGGTACCATTCAACGAGGTACCCCTCTAACATGGCAGAGCCCCGGCTGTCAGTTGCAATGTCCCCGTTACACCACGCTGCCTCTCTCCAGCCCCCCAGACCTAGCCCCTAGCTCTCCAGCCGCCCAGAGCTAATTACTGAATCCTTCCAGACCTTTTATTTTTCTTTAAAGGGATTTCTTACTTGCATGTGTACCTATACAAAGTCAGTATTTTTATGGTGTTTCAAGTAGATGCTGAGCGTGGAATCGCCAAATCATAGAATATACCCACTTGAATTTGTAGTCCGCCTTAGAATTTTGCGGGGTACGTCCCTCGAACCTTGGTGGTTTTTGCATTAGGATCATATTAATCATCAACTTGAATGAGCCAACCTAGACATACTCGTGATGCTGTTTCGTTCTATTTCTTCTAGGTTCTTTGTGCCCATTGATAACATTTTCTTTGTTACTATCATAAGTAGACTCTTTTTCTAACTAGATGTTTGCTTACATAAAGGCTGGATTAATTTTTAAAGATATATTAATTTTGTACGCAGCCATTATATTAAATTGTCTTACTGGTTTTGGTAGTTTTTCATTTGATTCTCTTGGGCTTTTAGGTTAAAAAACAACAACTGATTATATCATCTATAAATAATGATAGTTTTCTCATTTCCGACTTTCATACCTTTTATTACCGTCTCTTTTAAAATCCCACTGATTGAACATCCAGGGAAAACTGGTAAACAATAGTGGGGATCCCTGGCTTGTTCTAGACTTTCGCGGGGATGGCGATAGTTATTGTACATTTCAGAGCTGGTATAAGGTATTTTTCATGTTAAGAGAAACCATCTAGTCAGGTTTATCAAGAATCAAAATTAAGCCCTAGCCGGTTTGGCTCAGTGGATAGAGCATCGGCCCACGGACTAAAAGGTCCCAGGTTCGATTCCAGTAAAGGGCATGTACCTTGGTTGCAGGCTTGATCCCCAGCCCTGGTCAGGGCCGTGTGGGAGGCAGCCAGTTGGTGTATCTCTCACATTGATGTTTCTCTCTCTCCTCTTCCTCCCTTCCACTCTCTAAAAATCAGCGGGAAAAATATCTTCAGGTGAGGATTAACAAAACAAAAGAATCAAAATTAAGGCCCTGGCTGGCTAGCTCAGTTGGTTAGAACGCCATCCCGATACGCCAAGATTTTGGGTAAATGCATAAATAAGTGGAACAACAAATTGATCTCTCTCTCTCTCAGATCAATAAATAAACATCTTTTTAAAATCAGAATTAAATGTTATGGAATTGTTTTTGAGAGTCACACCTGGTAGAGATGTAAGTGGATGTTGTTTGACATGGATAGCTGGTTTTCCCGGCAGCACTTACTGAGTAGTCTACTCTCTCCTCGCCTCTATAATATTCTAAGTTTTCATGTGTGTATTGGTTTGTTTTTTATTTTTTCCCATTGATCTTTTAAAATTAGTTTTTGGATCCATTCCACCTGTTTTGAGTAATTACCTAAGCTATATATGTTTCTGAAATTTCATTGTAGATGAAAAAGAGTCTCAAATGGACGTGCAAAGCTTGTGGTGAGAAGCAGTCGTTTTTACGGGTGAGTCCCAAGAAGCAGGGCATCTACCCAGGCCAGGGACAGGCGGGTCCTCGTTCAGCACAGATAGAGCCCCGCTCCCTGGATTCCTGTTCCTTCAGGAGCTGGAATGAATGGAGCAGCGCCTTGAACGGTACCTTCAATTGTTTACTCATCGGCGAGTATTTATTGAATACCTTTGAGTGCCAGCCACAGGAAGGGCAGTGACAGGTGAGAAGGTGGCCGTTCTTGCCCTCACAGATCTGCGCATGTGAAAGGAAAGAGAAACTACTAAACACGCCGGCACCCCCTGCATGTGCGTGTAATTTAAAACTAGACGGGGCACAATGAAAGGAGGTGCAGGGGCCTGCACGAAGGTGACAGGCGTAGGCCCCCCCTGGCAGTGGGCAGACGGGTTGGTGGTTTCAGGGTGGGAGGATGGGAGCCGGTGGGCCCAAGAAGTGGAGGCCGTCGAGATGCCAGGCTAGCGAGGGTGTGCACTGAAGTGACCACATTCTAAGTGCTTTTGCCTAGCCCACTTTTTCTTTTTCTTTTTTAAAATATATTTTTGTGGATTTCAGAGAGGAAGGGAGAGGAGAGCGAGATAGAAACATCAATGATGAGAAAGAATCATTGATCGACTGCCTCCTGCACGCTCCCCACAGGGGATCAAGCCCACAACCTGGGCATGTGCCCTGACCAGGAATCGGACAGTGACCTCCTAGTTCATAGGTCGACACTCAACCACTGAGCCACGCCAGCCGGGCTAGCCCACTTTTTTCAAGTCCATATCTACTGACCCACCCAGTCCCTGTGGCACCACTCACTGTCCCGCATTTGTTCTCACTAAGCCCCACTTGCCTACCCCAGCCCCGGATGCCACTGCTCCAGCCTCATCTCATCACTCCTTCAGCCATGGGGACTTTTCTTTCTGACTTGGAAACAATCCAGACCTGCTCCCTTTGTGCTCCGTCTGGGGCTTCCCCCAGCTGTTCTCATTATCCTGATCAGAAGTCACCTCAGAGGGTGTTATGTGAGCATTGTCCGTCGCAGACCTTAAGTTCCGTGCGAGCAGAGGCTTTGTGTGCTGACTGGTGTACTCTCAGCTCCCAGCACAGTGCCTGGCCATGGTGAGTGCTCAGTAAGTATTTGGTGAGTGACTAAGTGACCAGTCTCACATCAGTGGGCATTTCCGTTGCTATTAGTTTCTATTGTTATGAACAACTCTGCAGTGAAGCTTCTCACACATACCTTGCTCTCCACTCGATCAGTTATTTCCTTAGGGCACATTCTAGAAGTTAAATTCTGTTTCAGAGTGTATCTTTCAACCAAGGTTTTTAGTT